CGTACACCGTGGTGAAGGCAGCCGGGACGAAGAAGTCAGGCGGCCTCCGAATTTGGCCTGTGCGCCGTGGTCCAGGCTGGACTTCCACTATGTCGCTGTCAATGGACTCCTCAGCAGATCTATGATTCTCCACGCCTTGTATTCGTAGCTGACGTCGAGATGAATACCCTAGCACGGGCGGCTTGCGAATTTGCCAATGGTTATGCACCCCCACACGCGGAGCATGGAGGTGTCATCCTTCTTGCCCGTCCACTTGACCTGCGATGACATGTTTCCCACGATGGTCGTTATAGCGAGGAAGTTATGCACCCACATGGCGTGATGCATGGCGCACGGCTAGTACGTCGGTGGAAGCTTCGATTGCCTTCGCAGCGCGCGGATCTTTGTTATGAGGGTGAAGTTGGTACGTTCAGGAACACCCTGCTATGGATGTGCGTAGGGGAGGGGGGCGTGTGCCATGTAGTCATGCAGCTCCTTGCTGCGGAATTCTGCTGCGCCGTTTGTCTACCAGATTTGCAATTTCTTGCCGGATTGCCGCTGCGCGTGCGCCAGCCAGAGGCGGAAAACTTCGTACGCCCTGCTGCGGAACTGTACGTTCGCGATCCACACGTAGCGGGTCCCCGCATCAACGAAGGTGAGTGTGTACCCCTCATCATTGAGCCCGCAGTGGCCGATAACAAGAAAGTCATTGTACACCTTGTGCAGCTTGGGGTAGCGGTTGGTTCCAGGTTCCAGTGGCGGGAATGACTGATAACTCTGCTCGGCTTCAGGGCAGACGGTGCAATTGCACGGCTGCGATGTTGTTTTAACTTGGAGCCGTCACAGCGCAAGAGTGTGCCAGGTGAGAACACTCCTGCCTCGATGCAGTTGTACAGCATGCGTAAAGTGACCGAGGCGTTGATGCCACAGGTCACATGTAGCGTGCGCGTACCAGTTCAGGGTCTTCTTCATGTACTGGAGTGGATTCTTCTGGCACTTCTTCTTCTGTTGCTTGTTCATATGCCATTGTCAGAATTAGGGCGAGAAATTCCCTGACGGGAATGGTGGAGAGGGGAATTTGGTGCTAGGGATTGTTCTGGGGACGAGAGTGGGCTCGGCGGCTCGGGATCAAACCCGTAGACGGTGTGACGTAGGGTTGAGGGGTCACTGCCCAAGTCGATAGTATCCCAAGGGTCGCGATACGGCACAACGTCAGCGGGGAGCGGCGCAGGTGCAGGGGGGCGTGGAGGGTGGCCTGTGGGAACAATAGGAGGATCAGTTTCTTCTGGTTCCTCCGTTCCCCCCCCTTTGTTCTCCTTGCCAAGCACTCTAGCCTTCACCAATGGTGCCCCATCCACCGCTATTGGCGCTCGTAGTGTCCCAGCCTCTGCAGGCAACGGCCCAAGTGCCTCTTGTGTTGCCCTAGGTACCGTCGCTTCTCGTTCCCCAGCCCTTGTTGCTGCCCCATCCCCCTTCATTGGAGGCTCCTTCTTCGTCTGTTGCGCCCCTTGCATCGCACGCGAAAGTTCCGCTTGCTTCGGCGATATTCTTCTAGCGAAGATCCTCCGCTTCGCGCCGTGCCCGCTCTTCTTCTGCTATGGTAAGATTCTTCTTGGGGTCACGCCCATGGGGGTAGACCTTCATGAATTTGTTTCTCGAGTAAAGGCGCACAACTCCGCGCGCGTCAAAAGTTCTACAATGTCGCCCACGTAGGATCCCTTGAAGTCGCTGTAAGGCTGATCCAGGAAGTGGATTGTCTGGTGTGCCGAAAACGTGATGCGACGTGATTTCGAGCTCCTGTGCCGACATTCCTTTGTCTGGCGGTGCGTATCATTCAGCTTGGTGATGGCGGCGAGTCCACGTCTTGCGATACGTTTGTCGAGATGGTGCGGCACCCAGGGCCTTCCTTCAGGATGCTATCATTTGGAGCGGTGGATTTGCTCGGAACGGAGCAGGATAAGGTCTATTAACTTATCATTGTCGCCGCTGCAGTTAACATTATCGAAGTCGAGTATGTATACGCTGCTCTCGGAGTGCGCTCATTTGTTCTGCTTATGCGGTTTGTCAGACGCCGTGTAGTGCAGGAAAATGTTACGTGTTTCAGGGTTGGTGCTGAGCTCAACTCTGCAATCCGTGAATTGTGCCACTAAGAGGAGATTGAACCTCTTGTCCCGCACGATGCGCATATCGTTTAGAGTGCTGTGCATTTTGCTCACATGCGCCTTGAGGATGACGATGCTTTGCGCGCAGACGGTTGTTGTTCGCCACGGTGATGTACGTAACCATGGGACGATGTTGGATATGAAACGCCCGGAGCCCACCATGTGCTGCCTGCAGCAGATATCCAGGTACCTCGTGTTGCACTGTCTATGATCATCGCACGCGAGCAGCACCAGTCGTGGCGTGACGATATGCGGAATGTCAAATTTTAAGAACTGTTCGATAGGTGCCGTCGGTGAATCAGGTACACGCGGGGGGCTTTCAAGTAGTGGGATCGGGAGGCTTCAAACTTGGTCGTCGTCGTCGTTGACATCGTATCGGGGGGCGAACAGTTTATTATCCGTAAACAGCTCGTTGGGGTGTAGTGCGGGTTCTGGAAGCGGCGTGCGCACGTTGCTACGATGGGTTCCGCGCGTATGGGGCATTGTAATGTTGCTGATGATGTTGCGCATGGATCCAGGTTGCGACGGTTGTTGTTGTTGCTGCTGAACCGTTGGGTTTAAGTTGCGATATTGCGCATGGGGGCTGATAGCCCTGGGCTTGATGCATGTCTTACCTTGCCTCTTGTTGGACTAGCGAGGGGCGGAACAAGATTCACATCGCTCGGCCAAATGCCCAAAATTTTTGCAAATTTTGCAGTAGAGGCACCGCGGTCGTCGCTCTTCTTTCTTGTTGGCGTAGAAGGATGGCACTGTAGGAACTTGAAGTGCTGAAGCAAGTGATGTCTTGTAGGAACGAATTCCCAGCTACTATGTCGGCGACATGTTCCGTAGCAGCACGCCGTACGCCATGAGCGAGTCGTTGTAGTGTTGCGTTCTGGCGTCGTCAGTGTCGGTTGTGGTATCTGTGTAGCTCCCGCCAAAATAGTGAGAAATCTATGCGATCTGCAGAAGCAATTCCAACTTGAAGGTCGAGGTATAAAAATCTCTGAGGTCAAAACAACACTTGTCTTTATTTTTTATACGCTCAAAAACCTCGATTGAGATGAGAGAATTGCATCGTGACTGGGACGGGGGACCTTGTGTGTTTAACCATTTTTTTCAAGAGAAAAGGTGTGTGGGATGGTATCGCGGCCATTCGCGGTTGGTTGAGAGGGTTGGGAAGATGCTCCCGCATCTCCATTTCGCATTGTCTGCATCCCTTGCTCCAGGGTCGAAAGTCGCTAAAGTGGTTGTTCGAGTGCGACGGTATCGATCGTTGTCGTCTCCTCGTTTGTCGTGGTCGGGTTGGGTTGCACTTCTGCGGTCAGTTCTGTATGACCTCCAGATCCTTCGGCCATCCTAACGCGCGAGCGTGTGCTGGACGCCACCTTCGTTCGGCGAGAATTTTGGGGTTGGCAGTGCGAAGGATTCCTGAGTCGCTCTCATACCATGTTGCCATCAGGAGGATGATTGTTCGTGCCTAGGATCACCTCAGGAAGGTTTGCAAAATGTGTGTTGCAGCGAAAGATTTGACCCCATGTCAGAGTGGATATAAAATTATCGAGATGATAAAAAAAAGCACAAGCATACGCTTATATAATAGCACACTAGAATTTGAAACGACCTAGACCAGCCATGTACTTCCAGGGGTACATTCCCTTATTGCAGCGACATCCAACCATGCGACTCCAGACGGCTACGAACCTATTCTCGCCATAATCCTCGCCACTGCAGCTGCCCGATGCTTCTGCTACGACGGTCCTAATGCTGCATAGCGGTATGCGACTCTTCGCGTCATTTCGACCTTTCGCCTTCATACCCTTCATTGTACTCTTCGCTTGCTATTGATAGGAGTGCACAATACTTCATATTTTACTATTCATAACAAGTGTCACAAGGTCGACATGGTATCCCATGTCGAAGGACGGCGCCCGGTCTAGGTGTTAGGCGCACTCATGGATTCATGCGATTACGAGAGAACGTGAGGACAGCGGCTCCTAGTACGGCGTGAATCACTTCGGGTGGAAAATTAAAAGTTTGCTTGGAAGTGCGCAGTCTGAAAAGAAAGAAGCTTCGATAGCCAAGTGTTGCAATGTAGCAATGTAGCGAGGATTGCACAAAGTTATTAAACGAGTACACAATGTATGAGTGAAAGCATGAGCGAATAATTATAAGCAAAACATGCAAACGATAACGTGGTGCATGTGAGCTAGCTAGTGCGATGCTGACATCGAGGTTCGGGCTGGTCCTGAAGTGTAGGCCGACGCAGCCAGGCCAGCGATGCATGGTTTGGCAAAACGCAGTGCGCGAAGGTTGGCGAAGCCCTGTAAGCAGTAACGGGCGAACAAAGGTTGGTCCTGTACATGGTGTTGAAGTACGCGGTAAGGAATGCAGAAAAATTCCTTACACTATGTAGGAGCACCATTATTGATATACGTCATGTTTAGTACTTCTGAAGTGGAGTGGTATTTCGGGGATGGGCTGGATGGGACTTGCCGGCGTGGAAACTTCTTTCCTGGTGTGCACATACCCTGCTAGCACATTCCTCGCCCGCACATACCTCCAGGGTTCTGAGTTGCACATCACACCACTGAGTTGCGTTGCGTTACCCGACATTCGCTGAAACCTTAGGGCGCGTGTCCTTTGGTGTAGAAGTTCGGAAAAATAGTTGAACTTTTGCAGGTAACCTGCTTCATTAATCTCGCCAAACAATTCGCGAGGCCGTCGTGTGTCCTAGATCAGAATGTGTGAAGGAAGTTGGACACTGAACTAGAGTCGACCTGCGCTCGAATTTTTACATTTACATTTATCCAACCGTGTGTCCTGCCGCGCACGTACGAAAATTCAGGAGGTTCACGACAGTAACGAGGTCTTTCGCACATGGTTACTGAATCTGGATACGGTCCCGAACTGCACTGCCCAACCGGGTAACTTACGAAAGTCTAGCACGACTCGGTAATTATTGTTCAAAGTTGAACTTCGCTAATCGAACTCTTGTGTGCTGTGTGATACATGTGAAGCGAGGAACAGCGGATCGAGCAAAATGAATCTACATGGTCGAGCCCAGGTCGACCTAGGTTCAAATGGTAGAAGTTCAACTAAACAAACGAGTTTTGCAAAACACTGTATAAGGACACGCGCCCTCACAACCGGTTTCCGCAACCCGCTGCAAAGGTTCCACGCCCTCACCCGCACAACAGGCCCAGTATGGCGGGTGGAGTTTCCGCACTGCTGCCTCTTGGGATTTGGGGTGGGAGTCACTTAGGTAGCTCAAACGTGATTCCACACAGCACGGCGCCGCTCCTATTCGCCGTGTTTGCAACAATCATGCTCCATTATAAAATCTTACCTTCCATAAATTCTCAGAAATATAGTACGAGTCTAACCATGAGCATTTCCACGTCGCCTAAAAGTCGTTCCTGTGGCCCTGTTGCCGCGTCATCATCTGCAAATGTCGCAGCTCGGCTTCTCCTCTTCGCGGCGGCGCTCACCGCCGCCGGCGCCGCTGCTTGCTCCCTTCCCACCGCCAATCTCCCGCTGCCGCGCCGAGATGCCCATCGTCTGTCCCAACAGCGCCTGCGCGGCCTGTCTCGCCTCGCTCGACCCACCCGCGCCCGACGCTCGCTTCTAAAGCTCGACGCCGCCACCGGCGGCGCCGCCGACGCCGGCTCGAAAACGACCGGCGCAAGCGCTGCAAAACCCGTCGTTTTGGAAGGATCGCAATGTGAGTCGCCGTTGTCGTCCACTGGACGTTGAGAAGCTTGCAGGAGAATGGTTGTCGTCCATCTCAGTGTGTCCAACAGAGCTCGAGTTGACGGGAAGACAGAGACTTTCACGCGCAGAACGGCACTTTGAACTTCCACTTGTATCGTCACGCTGGGCGCATTGTGCCTGGACTGAAGGCGCCGGTTACGTGAATCTGCTCTTATCCCCCCGTTGCAAGGAGGCAGTGCGCGCGCTGGTGCAGCTGCAGGAGGCGTGGGGCGCGTGGGCGGGCAACAGCAACGCCACCACGGCGTGCTCTGCGTGGGCTGGCGTCACCTGCAGCCCCAACGGGCTCGTCCTTGCCCTGTGAGTCCCAACGGGCTCGTCCTTGCCCTGTGAGTCACAACGGGCTCGTCCTTGCCCTGTGAGTCACAACGGGCTCGTCTCGTCCTTGCCCTGTGAGTCACAACGGGCTCGTCCTTGCCCTGTGAGTCACATTTGCCCCTCACTGCCCCTGTTGCCCTAATTGTCGCTTGATGCTCTGATCGCCCCCCATTCCCCTTGTTGTCGCCATTGCCATCGGCCCTCATTGCGTATCTGTGCTCACGTCGCCCTCATTGTTCATCACCGTTTCACCCCTCCCATTGCCTGCGCACGTGTGATCGTTGTGTACTATTCCTGAGTGGCTTGATGCTGTGCATGTGCGGGGGACAATGGATGGAGTCGCAATCTGAACGAAGAGGGAGGATGGGTGAAAAGTGGAGGTGGGGTGAACGATGGTGGGGACTGGACTGGACTGGGTACTGGGGCTGGGAAGTGGGGTGGGGTGGGATGGGATGTGAGGGACGGATGGGAGCGCTGGTATTGCGGGAATGCTTGCCTGTGTTGGCAGGGATGCAAAGCAATTCTCTGAAGTGGATCCTCCCCCCAGTGGCACCATACCCGCCTCCATCACTAGTCTTGCCACTCTGCAATACCTGTGCGTCATCACCCGCCTCCTCCCTCCACTACATCCATGTTGCATGCACCATTTCTGTCCTTCGATTACTGTGCCCAGCATGTGCTTGCTCCTGTTAATTCACCCGCGGTCGTGCTCCCTCTACACCCACGTGTGGCCCCACCCCACTCGCATCATGGTGCCTTCTCCATTGTTGTTTCGTCGCCTCTCATCCCCACAGCGATCTGACGTACATTGACCTGGTGGGGTCCATTCCATCCCTTGCCAGTCTCACCCGCCTCACCCACCTGTACGTGCCTCTTCTGTTGAAGGGTAGAAGACCTTGAAAGTTAGGGAAGTTAAGGAAATAGCATTAGAACGTACAAGAGTCCAAGATGTAGAACCAAGAGGTAGGAAATGAAGAGGTGATCTGCAGTAGAATCTTTGCTCAAGGAAATTCATTTAGTGGGATACATGTAATTCGCATTTCTTGGGTGGTCAAGAGAGCAAGATATTGCTCCTGTTCGATTCGCCAAGAACGTGGCTTTTTTTGGCACCAAACGTTCGAGTCGGATTCACCCTTGTTGTCGCATTCACCCGAAGCGTGGCGAATGGAAACGCATCTGCCTCAGGTTCGCGTCAAAACCAGGGCGTCAATTTGGCGTGCCGGTTCACATTTTAGGTCAAGTGCATAATTTGGCTCGGTTTCGAGCTCAAACCTGATCTTTCAATATTTCGTCAAGCTCCTAAGGCACGCCCGCGCTTATCACACTTTATGCTAGCATGCGCTAATCATTGAAATTAGGCTTAGGACTGGAAACGCTACAGGAGCTTCGGGAAGGATAGGTTCTGGGTAGGTTTAGAATGTTGAAAATAGGAATCACGAGGATAGTGGGGGATTGGGAGGGGTGAGCAATGGATGTTAGGGCGGGTCATACTTTTTTGTTTGGGGTTCGTTTTGAATGGCGGGTCGGCCTTGTTTGGTCACATTTGTACGGGCTCTGGGCTTGCACCCAGCTGGCCGGGGTCCTCCGGCCGTGCTGATCCCTAACCCAACACACAGTAACCAAAACTACACTCAAGTACAAAACGTCAGATTTTAGTCTATTGCTAACAGTATCCTCGTGACCTCCAATATACTTGAGGATCTTCTGTCCCTTATTCAACCCCAATCATCTATTGTTGGCCCTGACATGTTTCCCTGTCCTCTTGCATTTCACTATTGCATTGCTCCTTGTACTCAGAGCTATTGGAGTGGCGGGCAGCAGGCTGACTGGCACATTGGACGGACTGGCCTGGCTCTCCTCCCTCACCAACCTGCAATCGCTGTACGCTCTACCAGCACGACACCCTGCAAACACTGTATGCCCTGGATGTCACGCTGCTCCAGAAACCCATGCCGAAGGCCCATCTTCCTCTCCTACACCACACTCCGACGGCTTCTTGCATGCCTCGCTGCCTTCTCACCACCAGGAATCTAGAGTACTTGGAGGCATTCACAGGGGACTTGTCCTCCCTGCACATCGTTTCTCACATGAGGAACCTTCAGCAACTGTAAGTTGATATGGGCAACAATCAAACTCGAAGTGGCTTGGCTCAAACCAATTCGACAGCCATGGTGTAGAATTTCTAGGAGTGTTGGACCTGACACAAATATTACGACCAGCTGGGGAGGTGCGGGCCGCGCTGGAGATCAACACCAGATCATTGTGCTTTGGCAGTAGAACCAGACGGTTTGACTCGAAGTGCAGTCGGTTCGAAAGGAGCCGTTTTCCCCTTAAAAGGAAAATGCGGAACTGGTTGGATCGGAACGAACTCACGGTTGGGAAGCCCAAGTCTAGTTGCAAGAATCATTACGGTGCACAACATAGTGGGGTCGCAATATGTTTCTGTCCTGATTCTCATGGTAGTGTGTATGTTTATGGTAATCTATACCAACTGGTTTCACTGGATTCACTGGATTCACTGGATTCACTGTTGCTGATTGCGTGTGCATAAACGCAGGACACTCGCTTCGCTCACCAATGCCACAGGGGAGATACCCAGAGAGATCCGATACTTGACTGCCCTCACCTCACTGTAAGGTGGACAAAATATCCAGGATTGAACAGATGAAGCAAGTTTATTCATGAGAACGATTACAAAATCCGTAATTCTTGGCCAGCACAACAGATGCTGTCCGCTATACTCTTGTCTACGTGACTTCCTCGTGCATTCCTCCCTGCAGGGACTTATCCTTCCTTCGTGCCCTGGAGTTTCCCGATTGGGTCACCCACCTCTCCAACCTTGAGTACCTGTAAGCACCACCTCGTCCTCCTCCACTCTCTTTCTGTCCCTTTACCACTCGCCACTCACATTTCTTGTGGGCACAAGAACCGCACGTGCCATTGCTGTGAGAAGCTGGGTGAGACACTCTCAACGGCAAAGTAAAAAATAACGTTGTTTTTTTTACAATTTACTGTAAAAAACGGTACCGTAAAATACGGACCGTAAAAAACGGCAAAAAACGGTTCCAGAAGGTGATTTTCATTTGAATAAAAAATCTGCCATTTTATGTGACCAAATTGATGGCGAAAATCACCAGGATGAATAGGAGGAACCCCTCCTTGCATGCGTGCATGCGTGGGCATGATTGAAAATGTATCCGACCTTGTTTTTGCCTTTTTTTCCTTGGTGAAATGAGTTCTCTAACAAAAAAACGCCGTATATTTGAAAATTTACCGTAAAAAACGGACAGTAATTTACAAAATCCGTATTTTTGGACCTTGCTCAACGGCCAGTTTTCCTTTGTTCGCAGGAATGTGGAGACGGATGATCCGCGCCGACAGGGGGTGGTGATAGACGCCTTCTCTGAGCTCACAGCACTCACCAGCCTGTGAGTCTAGCGCGCGGAGGTATTGAGAGCATGCATGCTCGCAGTTAGCTCTAAATTAGGTGAGTGTACTCGATTGTAGTTCACGTTTTTCAAATGTATTGTTAAAGAAAAAAAAAGAGTTTCATGAACCATGTACCTCATGGGGCTAGTACTTATTGCTGTTGGGTGTTGGAAAAGCAGATGACTCGTACGAGTGTGCCTCCGCAAGATTAGATGGACACATCCCCCCCTCTCGCACCACCGCAAATTGTCTATTATATCCTTGCTGCATTACGGTCTCCATAGGCGCAGGAAATACACTCGAGAGTTTTCCATGACCCCCACCGGTGAACAATTCACGCATCGATCCATTACCTGCCCCCATGCCCTGCAGGACCTTCAGCGGAAACAACCTGGAGGGCTACCTACCCAAGAGCTGGTCCGCTCTGGTCAATCTGCAGGAGCTGTGAGCCATCCTGCAAATCTCCACCCCTCTTTGTCATCCTGTCATGCCGCGCTTCCACCCTGGTGTCATCATGCTTTCCCAATACCATGTTGCTGGCAGCAGCATTAACCGCATCTGCGTTGATCCATGCTGATATTCAAAGATTGGCAAGCTTGTCTTGTTTCGTTCTCATCCCAGATATTTGAGTTCCAACCATCTCCGAGGAGCCATTCCGGCAACATTTTCGGCCCTAACGGCCCTTGCTTCATTGTAAGATTCCTACGTCCCACCCCGCTTACCATTGTCTGACCACCACTCCGTCCCTGCCTATTTTCTCGTATCTTCCTCAATCCTCACTCAGTGTGCTGCCATGGGTCATTCGTTCTACCCCCCTCCATTGCAGAGACCTTTCGTGGAATTCTCTTTCTGGTTCTATACCCCCGGTATTCGGCACCAACATCCAAACGTTGTATGTCATTCTTCGCACCACTCCTGCTCCACCTTTCCAGGCCAAGCCCCAATACCAGCCTCTTCTTTCTCAACATTTACATAAGTCAGCTCATGGCCGGTGCTTCTTTTCCCGTCGTGCATTCCCTGTTGAACCATGTTGTAAGTTGGATTGGTTGAACCTTTGTTTCTTTTGTCTCTATATTGACTCATTCGGCATCTTTGGCACCAGCGCTTGACACTAAGTTCCGGAACTGTATATTCTTGCTCAGGCGGGCAACTGAAGAAAACTTTGGGCACGCATATTGCCGGGGGGAAGGGAGAAAGGGAGCGGGGATAGTGGGGGTGAAGGAGAGGGGAGGGGCTTGTTCAGAAGCAAAAATGCTTTTCCCCCAGAGTAAGCCCAGCATTTGACCTTTTGCTAAGCTATTAAGCTTCATCTGCAGGCAGTGGAGAGCTATAATTCTACGTTTAGGAGCTGGACACAAGATCAGGAATCCTTACTGGCGGAGTTCAGAGGTCTGGGGGGGGTTATATTCTGGCGTAAAGGTTTGTTGAACCAAATTATGACATGAGGGGGGGAGGGGGTGGGTGGGGGAAGGTGGGAAGGGTTGACATGAGCCAGAACTGAGCTCCAACAGGTTCGACTCAAATCGACTTGAACCGCTAATTAAGTTGAACTGCACTGATCTGGTTCGAGTCAAACTGGATTCCTGCTCATGTCTGCTTTCCCCCTTCGAACCAGTTAGTTAGTCGACCGGGTTGACACACGGGGCGGGGGAGAAAGCCGAGTCGAGCAAGTGTGGCTCAAAACTAGAAAAAAACACTCGGCTGTTGAGTCAAACAAACAGCAACCGAGTTTGCTTTAGTTGATTCGACTCTGTCGATTAACAGCTCCAAAATCTCATATCGTGTCAACTCATTCCGATGTGTAAAAAAAGAGAGGCAAGTACTCTGTTTCTGTGATGATCAGGCTTGCGGGTACCTCAATCTCTCTCTATCAATGCCTTGAAGCTCCCTCACAACAAACTATTCCAATTCCACTGGAGCAGCAGTTCTTAAATGAGTTTATTTTCTGTCTAAAACCAATCATTCGTGTATTACAATCCCCTCATTGCTTGTCAATACCCCAGACCTTCACCAACATCATCCAGAGAATGTCCGTCTCTCCTTGCCTTCCCGTGCCAAACCAGCATAGCTTCTCCTCCCCTCCCGTTGATCTCTCTTTTGGTTTCAGTCCCCCCCTATACCCTCATCTCTCCCATTGTGTCTTCCATCCATTTTCTGTTGTCCTGATTTCACCGTCAATCTCTCTTCGTCCCTCCTTGCTCCCCTCACTCATTCTCTCCTCCCTTTCGTCGTTTCAAACCCCTGGTTTACCTCAACTGTCCTCATTCTCTCATTCTCTCTTCATTTCGTCGTCCTTTCAGTCAGGCACTGCCTCTCCTGTCCTACCTACCTATACAGATACCTTGACCACAATACCTTCGATGGACCCATTCCACCACACCTCGCACTGCCCAACCTCGTTGAGCTGTGAGATTCTCCATGTTTGCGCATTCTCTACACACTCATCCTTGGACCTCCATTCCTATTCACCCCTTGAGTTTCCCTCCTGCCTGCACTCTCTGCCTAGCCCCAACTTTCATATTATGCCCTGATCCCTTTCATTCCGCTGTGCAATGTGTACTCTTGGGATGTCCTGGCTGCAGTCAACTAGCCAACAACTTGTTCACAGGAGGCATCCCCAACGCCTTCACTAGGCTCACTGGCATGAGAACACTGTATGTCTCTTCCTCCCCATGCTACGTACCGCTTCCTGTCTCACCTGCACAAGGAAACGAGATTAGCCTGTCCACGGTATACATGAGCATTTTAAGAGTCGAGCAAAAGCTGTATCGTTTTTTATTGACTCGGTCGAATTTTGAATCGAGTCTAGTTATACTCGGACAAGTTTTTTTTCACTCCTCCGCCCAGCCACCCACCCATCCCACCCAAACCCATCCCTCCTCCCCCCAAGAGCTGGTCCAGCCACCTGCTTCATCCATGCTAGTGCCAGATCTGCTAGATGAAGTCTCAGATCCGCACGGATCTGACGGTGAAATGTCACGCCATTTTTTTTTTTTTGTACTTGACAACTTGTCATCTAGAAGAGGTGCAGCCGTCTCGACTCGGTAGAGTTAAAAGAAAGAGAGAGAAAGGTTACAGGACTTGAAACTCGTCAAGAATGAGTTCACTCGTTTGCCCGTGCCAAAGGGGATGCTTGTCGCGACCACAAAATTGGTTGCACGGCCTCACATGTTTACGAGTTGTTTGACTTAGGATGCTCCGTTTCCAGCCTTATGCTCGTTGCCTCTGCCATGTGTGTGTGCTCCACTTGACAGAGACATTGGTTTCAACAGTCTCACCTCAGGCCTTCACGTGGTGGCTCAGATGACATGGCTCGCAAACATGTGAGTGTTCTCCCCTATTCGCCACCTCATCAGCCTCCTGTTGACTCTCATGTTACTTTCCCTCACCTCCCTTCGTCCACATTGGCTGCCTGCAACATCTGAGAAACGTTCTTGGAACCTGGCTGTGCAGACTCCTTGACAGCAACGACTTTTCTGGTGTGCTTCCAGCGTCCTTCACAGCCATCAAGAGCCTCGCATTTCTGTGAGTCTGCTCTATCCATATCTTGGCTCCTCAGTATAGCAGTCCCCTCGCACCTACCTAAGTAAGGATGGAACAATAGCTAAGGCACTTCTTAGTGTGCCTGATAAATATTCGGCCCCTTCTTAGAATCAAGTTGCATCTCATTTTTCTCCATCACTTTTGTTTAATTTTTATATGTGTGTTACATATGAGTGCTGTATTTATGTATGCCTTAATATATCCACATGTTGGATTTGTCCATGTGGACACTGCCAACAATTGACGAGCCATTGACGGATTGTGCCTTGCTAGTGCCAGTGGTTGCATTACTAGGTGGTTCCGCCCTGGATAAGAACTATTACAAATGGACTCCTTGAACGGGAATGTGCTGGGTTCAAATTCCAGACACGCTCCCAGTCAGGGCAGGGCATATTTCATACCTTTCTTAACCTATTCATGCACACAGATGCCAGAAGCCACTGTTTTGAGCCCACTTGTTTTCAAACGTCTGCAGTGGACTTTGCACGCGCCCCTTCTGCATGAATGTGTTTCATCATCTCCCCATCACATGTATCTTGCTCCTGGTCCAGGCTTTTAAATAACAACCACTTCACTGGAACCTTCCCCCATTCTATTCTGTTCCACACGAGCCTTCTACAACTGTAAGTAGGCAATGAGCAAAAGGCGAACTTGAACCACTTCTTTAAACACCCTATTCAATCAAACCAAACATGTTAATTCGAATCGGATATCTTTGGGAAAGTGATGTTCAGCTGTTCAAAAGGAGCTGGTGAAAGGGAGCTGTTTTCCTCGCTTACTTATTGTTTGAGTCGAACATGAGCATGTTTGGTTCGACTATTGATTTTGCTAGTCACAAGTGGGCCCTTACTCCAATCCGTGATAGGAGCAGGGCGCACGCTGGATCATACAAACGTTCATACTAAGTGAACCATCCTCCATCACGGCTAATTTATTCACATGCTAGAAGAGAGTGTGAGCGAAAAAATGGGCTCAAGATTTCTCAATTTTGACAAAAATGTTAACCCGTGCGACCTGACTCGCGCGGGTTTCAAAATGTTTTACTAGAACAGTGTCATGTTCGGTTTGACACGCCTCAACAGACTTGGCGAACCAAATCGAACATGTTTGACTAGAACAGTGTCATGTTCGGGTCGAACATTTCTGGGAAAACAATCATCTAAACTTATCTGGCACTCGCAATCGCAATGGCAATGTCAGGGACCTGAGCAACAACAGTTTCACCGGTTCTATCCCTCACGAATTGACCAACCTTGTTAACCTGCAAAACATGTGAGTAGCACCGGTGCCTGGTCCACAATCAGGCTATGGCTTCAGCGTGAGCGGTTGTGGGTGCACCAGCTTGCAAAGTAAAGGACTGTCCTGGGAAGTGTAACGTGACTTGAATTGGAAAGGACAGGACGTCAAGAGATAACAAGGAACGCCAAGTAGGGCAGTGGCTCGGGGTTGAGGAACCTTAGCAAGTCTGCCCATTCTGTACTCTTTGAGGTCACTCACTTTTGAGGTTCGTGATACCGTACTCCAGTAACCTCAATGACAACAATTTTCGTGGAGCTATCCCTTCTGGCCTGTTTCAGCTATCCACGCTGTCCTCACTGTAAGTCGCTCCACGGCTCCATCACCCCTGCTTTAGAATTCTTTTCTTCAACCTCTTTCCCCGCTGAGTATGCATCTCTGACAAAGGAGTGTCAAATGGCATGTTGCAAGAACTCCACTGCCAAATACTTTAATCAGGAATCCGCATGCCTGCCTGCTATTGAGTTCGGATCTTTCCTATTTCCTAAATCTTCATCTGATCTTTTCATCTCCTTTCCAAGGTTATTGTTGTTGGCTCACAGTGTATGCATGTGGTATTGGATTCCTTACAGCTGCATTCAGCCAATCCTTCCCTCTGTTTCCCCTCCTCCCCAACACAGGCAAGTATCTAACAACTTCCTTTCGGGTGGCCTCCCACGGACTCTCAACGCCCATTCTTCTCTCCACACGCTGTAAGTAGTGTCTCCACTGGGTGCCAACACCACAGTGTGTAACTGGTGTCACCCTGTTCCCTTCGTGCTTAGCTTTCATCCCCCCGAATTTTTTCATTCGCTCCCATTGCACCGTGCAGCAACCTGCAGGAAATGGCTTCACGGGCTCCTTGCCAAACTTCTCTCGCTGGAAAGTCAGCTGTGCACAGATGTAAGCCTCCCCACACTCTCCTCCTCCCCTTCCCCCTCAGACACTCCCCCTGTCCCTCTCTCTGTATCACTTGCTCAATCCCGTTCCAACACCTTGGGGTTTATGCGGGCCATTTGCATGTATTGTACAGTGTACTTAATTGGACCCATGGTTTGCAGTTGAAGACAACCCACTCATCTCAGCTGCTCTCATTGCCACCTCGCCTGTGTTGTTTGTGGCTCAGAGATCTCAGCAACAACAACTTCACGGGGTCTATTCCCGTCTCCATCTCCACCCTTACCACTCTCGATGCCATGTGAGCCTTCTTGGATCACAACGTGCCCTTCAGCACAAAAGCATCATATTATTGTCTTCTGAGCACAGCCGGTTGTTGTGTCCAAATTCCATCTGTGAGCCTCAGAGCTGCAGGAGAAGGGCATCAGTGGCTGGCAGGCCTATGCGCGCACTCATTGCCTGTGTCCTAGCCGCATATGCATGATTCGCACTTCAACCAATGTAACCATTTCCTCGCCTTACCTATGCAGTTTCCTCAACAACAACCAACTGACAGGCACCATCCCCTCTGCCATGTTCACCATGACGAATCTGAAATACCTGTAAGCATCAGAGGATCAAAGCTCACCTTACCAAGTGCCCATCGAGCATTCCCACCTCTTTCCTGCACCAGCCCTCACTGCTCTTGCATACGCCAATTCTCATTGAAACGTCTCCCTGCCACTACCCTCTCCAGCTATCTGGCCAACAACCATCTGAGTGGCAGCCTGCCAGCTGCCATCAGTCGACTGAAGAAGCTCGAACAGATGTGAGGGTGCTATCTGCTTTTCTCCTTTGCATTTATCGGAGGGCAACACAAGGCAAGTGTACTAAAAACTGTTAAAGATCTGTCTCACCATAGTAGTTAAAGAATGAACACATGCAATCGTGGCATCCCCAATCCACATTGAATTCCATAGTAATTTGTAAGTATGTTTGATATTTGTGCAACCATCCGCACCTTCCTGCCTCCTACCACGGCTCTGCTTGCCCCGCAGCTGGCTGGACAACAACAAGATTGAGGGCCCTCTGCCATCTGGCCTGTGCTCGCTGCCCTGGCTGTGGCGCATGTGAGTGGCTGGAGCATATGCGTCTGTTTAACATGAGTGAGAAATTTGACAGAGAATGTTGTAACAACTATTTGACACCAATGTTGAAGCATCTTTCAACCAAGAAATAGTTGACTGTCACTCATTGAAAGCGAGTGACACTGTTCATTCAAGATTCTGAATTTGAAGGAAATATGGCATCCAGTTTTATCTCCGTGCCTATGCCATTCCTTACGAGTCTAATGATTAGTATGGCATGGTGTGTGTGGTGCTGCTGCTGGCAGCATGGTGAGCAACAACTACCTGTACGGGCCGCTTCCGGACTGCCTCTTTGACAAGTGTATCAACCAAATGTGAGCCAATCACGCAAAATTAATTCCCGGTCCCATGCATGCAGCAGCTCTCAGCATCAATGTGGTGAGCGCAATGAGTGACGAGGGCCACGGGTTCACTGTGGTAGAGTATGTGGTGGGACTACCTTCAAACACTCTAAGCCCACCTTCTGCGCTCCGCCTGCCCCCCCTGCTCCCCCCAGCGATGTGAGTGGCAACAGCCTGTACGGGCGCATAAACCGCAACTTCAAGAGCATGGTGGCGGATAGCGATGCGCTCATCAACTTGGCTCACAACTTCTTCTTCGGCGATGCGCTGCTCCTCGCTGCCGGCTGCCAGGTCTGCCCCACTCAGATCACCGAGCCCAACAACCTGGGCATGGGGGACACCTTTGATGTGCTGGCCGGAAAGTGCACCACTGCTGCAGCCACGGGTCTGCGAGATATCTCTGTGGCGGGGGCAGGCAAGGAGGCGAGGGTGGGTGTGGCGGGCAACTGCCTGACGCTCAGTGCGGACGCGGAGTGCTCGGCCAACGCCACCCAGCGCAGCACGGCAGCCTGCCAGGCGTTCTGCAGCATCACGGACAACGGCCCGTGTGACGGCCATGGGGAGTGCGTGCCGCCTGCCCCCGCCTCCCCCTCCAACTTCACCTGCCTCTGCCATGCCGGCTACTCTGCCCTCGACTTGGGCAACGGCTCCACCTGCGCCGTGGTCAACTCCACCTCCACCACTGGTGAGCCCATCTGCACTGGCGCACTAACAAGGTGGTCGCACTCTGTTTTAGTGGAGGATTATGTCACCCTCTCCATCCACTTCATGTTGCATGTCTTGTCCTCTCTCACCTTACCGCTCTCAACCCCCCTTTACCCAACCATGGCTTCCCAATCGCTAGCTGAAAGTTTCACAGCAACCAATGCTTTTGTGATTTCTTCCTCCCTCCTTCCTCTGCAGTGTCCTCGCTCTCCACGGGCGCCATAGTGGGCATTGCGGTGGGCTGCTTTGCTGGCTTCGTTCTGCTCGCTGCTGTCCTCACATGGCTGCTCCGGCCCCGCGGACCAAGTGAGACCCCCACAACCTCGCACCCATGCCGAGTCACTTTTGCACTCTTGCCCTGCTCCACCGCTTTCCTCCATTCTTCCGCTTCTATCTCTCCCACCGCCTTCTCACTCACCCCATTGTGTATCGTTTGTTGTGTTGTGTTGTGTTTTCTGTTCTTTTCTGTTCCATTTCGTTCCATTCTGTTCTGTTGTGTAGAGAAGTGGCAGGGGTTGGAAGTGTGTGAGCAGTACACGCTGCAGCAGGTGGCGAAGGCCACAAACAACTGGTCGGAGGAGAACGAGCTGGGAAGCGGCGGCTTCGGCGTGGTGTACAAGGGATACTCGCCACAGGGGCAGCTGTGGGCCATCAAGCGATCCACTGTCATGACCAACGACTTTGAATTGGAGGTGAGGAGGCTGGAAGCAGCTGCAAGTTCAGCGGACATGTCCAGGATATAACCCGTTCCTGCATCATCTGCTGCAGGTGCGGGCCATGGCGACGCTCCACCATGTGAATCTGGTGCGGTTGCTGGGCTTCTGTGTGGATCAGAATGTGGAGACGGGCAAGCAGGAACAGATTCTGGTGTACGAGTATGTGGGTAACAAAGACTTGGAGCACCACATCTACAAGGCCAGATGTGAGTAATACCATGTGTGCCAAAGCACCGACTTACATGTTTTTCCAACATTAGCAGGAACCGCTTTTGATGTATCTGTTCTGCAGCAGCGCAAACCCCTTTCAATTCACCTCAGAGCACTCTCTTTGCACGTCCTTCTCTCTCTGCCAGACCCTCTTTCGCTGCGGCAGCGGCTGCGGCTGGCGCAAGGAGCAGCGGAGGGGCTGGCATACCTGCATGGGTTTGCGACGCCCATCATCCACCGCGACATCAAGCCCGCCAACATCCTTGTGACTGCCGACATGCAAGCCAAGGTGGCTGACTTTGGGCTGCTCAAGCGCCTCACCCACGGGGAGGGGGATGCGACCAAAGTGGCCGGGACTCCCGGCTATGTGGACCCTGATTACAACCGCACAAACGTGCTCACCAAGTGTGATGTCTTCAGGTTGGACTGATTTTTAGTAGATGCCTATTTAGAGTCCTGCACGAGTTTTCTTGCAATTCCTTCCTCTGCATTTTTTTACCTGTGTCGACGATTGTGTATGCTTTCCTGCTTCCCGCGTGCCTGCAGCTTTGGCATTGTGCTTCTGGAGCTGCTAACTGGCTCCAGACCGATTCGCTACGAGTCGCACATCAGAAACTGGGTACGTGCATTGCAACTGAGGAATTAAGGGGCCATTTCTTGTCTGCAATGGAGCGAAGCATCTCATTTGCGTCGTGCCATTGTGATGCGTCCATCACTCCCAGGCAATGCAGAAGATGGAGGCATACGCGTTGGACGAGCTCAAGGACAGCAAGCTGGAAGCAAGCGAGGAGGCCACAGTGGCCTTTGCCGACCTCGCTCTGGACTGCGTCAAGATGCCGGGCACACGGCGGCCCGACATGAAGGCTGTGGCTCACAGCCTCAGCACTCTCATTGACAAGTTCTGTCCGGACAAGGAGCCGTGCGAATTCGTGGAAAACCTGTCATTCCCAGGGAGCGAATCGGCACAGACCAGGGCTCTCTCAAGGAGATCTCCAGCGTCCAGTAGCATCAATAACAGTCTAATGATTAGTACGGCATGGTGTGTGTGGTGCTGCTGCTGGCAGCATGGTGAGCAACAACTACCTGTACGGGCCGCTTCCGGACTGCCTCTTTGACAAGTGTATCAACCAAATGTGAGCCAATCACGCAAAATTAATTCCCGGTCCCATGCATGCAGCAGCTCTCAGCATCAATGTGGTGAGCGCAATGAGTGACGAGGGCCACGGGTTCACTGTGGTAGAGTATGTGGTGGGACTACCTTCAAACACTCTAAGCCCACCTTCTGCGCTCCGCCTGCCCCCCCTGCTCCCCCCAGCGATGTGAGTGGCAACAGCCTGTACGGGCGCATAAACCGCAACTTCAAGAGCATGGTGGCGGATAGCGATGCGCTCATCAACTTGGCTCACAACTTCTTCTTCGGCGATGCGCTGCTCCTCGCTGCCGGCTGCCAGGTCTGCCCCACTCAGATCACCGAGCCCAACAACCTGGGCATGGGGGACACCTTTGATGTGCTGGCCGGAAAGTGCACCACTGCTGCAGCCACGGGTCTGCGAGATATCTCTGTGGCGGGGGCAGGCAAGGAGGCGAGGGTGGGTGTGGCGGGCAACTGCCTGACGCTCAGTGCGGACGCGGAGTGCTCGGCCAACGCCACCCAGCGCAGCACGGCAGCCTGCCAGGCGTTCTGCAGCATCACGGACAACGGCCCGTGTGACGGCCATGGGGAGTGCGTGCCGCCTGCCCCCGCCTCCCCCTCCAACTTCACCTGCCTCTGCCATGCCGGCTACTCTGCCCTCGACTTGGGCAACGGCTCCACCTGCGCCGTGGTCAACTCCACCTCCACCACTGGTGAGCCCATCTGCACTGGCGCACTAACAAGGTGGTCGCACTCTGTTTTAGTGGAGGATTATGTCACCCTCTCCATCCACTTCATGTTGCATGTCTTGTCCTCTCTCACCTTACCGCTCTCAACCCCCCTTTACCCAACCATGGCTTCCCAATCGCTAGCTGAAAGTTTCACAGCAACCAATGCTTTTGTGATTTCTTCCTCCCTCCTTCCTCTGCAGTGTCCTCGCTCTCCACGGGCGCCATAGTGGGCATTGCGGTGGGCTGCTTTGCTGGCTTCGTTCTGCTCGCTGCTGTCCTCACATGGCTGCTCCGGCCCCGCGGACCAAGTGAGACCCCCACAACCTCGCACCCATGCCGAGTCACTTTTGCACTCTTGCCCTGCTCCACCGCTTTCCTCCATTCTTCCGCTTCTATCTCTCCCACCGCCTTCTCACTCACCCCATTGTGTATCGTTTGTTGTGTTGTGTTGTGTTTTCTGTTCTTTTCTGTTCCATTTCGTTCCATTCTGTTCTGTTGTGTAGAGAAGTGGCAGGGGTTGGAAGTGTGTGAGCAGTACACGCTGCAGCAGGTGGCGAAGGCCACAAACAACTGGTCGGAGGAGAACGAGCTGGGAAGCGGCGGCTTCGGCGTGGTGTACAAGGGATACTCGCCACAGGGGCAGCTGTGGGCCATCAAGCGATCCACTGTCATGACCAACGACTTTGAATTGGAGGTGAGGAGGCTGGAAGCAGCTGCAAGTTCAGCGGACATGTCCAGGATATAACCCGTTCCTGCATCATCTGCTGCAGGTGCGGGCCATGGCGACGCTCCACCATGTGAATCTGGTGCGGTTGCTGGGCTTCTGTGTGGATCAGAATGTGGAGACGGGCAAGCAGGAACAGATTCTGGTGTACGAGTATGTGGGTAACAAAGACTTGGAGCACCACATCTACAAGGCCAGATGTGAGTAATACCATGTGTGCCAAAGCACCGACTTACATGTTTTTCCAACATTAGCAGGAACCGCTTTTGATGTATCTGTTCTGCAGCAGCGCAAACCCCTTTCAATTCACCTCAGAGCACTCTCTTTGCACGTCCTTCTCTCTCTGCCAGACCCTCTTTCGCTGCGGCAGCGGCTGCGGCTGGCGCAAGGAGCAGCGGAGGGGCTGGCATACCTGCATGGGTTTGCGACGCCCATCATCCACCGCGACATCAAGCCCGCCAACATCCTTGTGACTGCCGACATGCAAGCCAAGGTGGCTGACTTTGGGCTGCTCAAGCGCCTCACCCACGGGGAGGGGGATGCGACCAAAGTGGCCGGGACTCCCGGCTATGTGGACCCTGATTACAACCGCACAAACGTGCTCACCACCAAGTGTGATGTCTTCAGGTTGGACTGATTTTGAGTAGATGCCTATTTAGAGTCCTGCACGAGTTTTCTTGCAATTCCTTCCTCTGCATTTTTTTACCTGTGTCGACGATTGTGTATGCTTTCCTGCTTCCCGCGTGCCTGCAGCTTTGGCATTGTGCTTCTGGAGCTGCTAACTGGCTCCAGACCGATTCGCTACGAGTCGCACATCAGAAACTGGGTACGTGCATTGCAACTGAGGAATTAAGGGGCCATTTCTTGTCTGCAATGGAGCGAAGCATCTCATTTGCGTCGTGCCATTGTGATGCGTCCATCACTCCCAGGCAATGCAGAAGATGGAGGCATACGCGTTGGACGAGCTCAAGGACAGCAAGCTGGAAGCAAGCGAGGAGGCCACAGTGGCCTTTGCCGACCTCGCTCTGGACTGCGTCAAGATGCCGGGCACACGGCGGCCCGACATGAAGGCTGTGGCTCACAGCCTCAGCACTCTCATTGACAAGTTCTGTCCGGACAAGGAGCCGTGCGAATTCGTGGAAAACCTGTCATTCCCAGGGAGCGAATCGGCACAGACCAGGGCTCTCTCAAGGAGATCTCCAGCGTCCAGTAGCATCAATAACAGTGGTGGATCCTCCAGTGGCCTTGGAACCACGTTCCGTGGTCTCAGCAGCTGGGCGCAGTTTCGACTCTCTGGAAGGTACTAAGCCAATGAGCCAATGAAACATCTTCACCATGTTTTCCAGCCTGGGCAATTGGGTTCATGACGATGATTTGGCTTGGCTGAGGGTCAGGGCCTATGCAATCAGACGACTTACCGGTATTATCAATGATTTTCAGAACCTAGGTTAAATTGCTAGACAAAAATACTTCTTTTAAATGAAAGCTCAGGCTTGTCTGTTTCATGGTAGCAGGCTTGTCAGGAATGAGAATGATGTTTGACTAACAGAATGGGAGTACAAGTAGGTGTCAAGAATTGAATTGTGTTTGCATTGATGTGGGTTGGTGTACATATACCTAACCCTAACATTTGTACCCCATAAGATAAGCCTCACTACAGGCTACAACACTTGACACACCCCCATAGCCTAAGTGAGGGGTGTCAAGCAAAAAAACAAAAGAGTACGGTCACAATACCAGTCACAAAGAAACAAAGCTTAGGGTGGATCACAATGTCACCACACATTCCGAGCACAAGCAGAATGGCCTTGCCAGTCCAAGAGTTCACAGGTGTATAAGCAACAGGTACAACAAATAACAAGCAACTCAAGTCTACACAAGACGAGAACCTGTGTCAACGAGACCTAACTGCACACAACACCTCTGGTGGTCACAAGGCGGAAGCGCCTTGGTGAAGATGTCGGCAGTGTTGGCCTCGGACTCCACAAAGTCAAAGCGAGCCTGTCCACGCCTCTGCAACTCTCGCAGAAGAAAGTACAGGACGTTGATGTGCTTCACTCTGCTCTCCAGTCGAGGCTCTTGACAGAGAAGAATCGCCGCCTTGTTGTCAGTGAACAAGGTCGGTGCAGAGCTCGGCCGCTCACCAAGGTCTGTGAGCAAGAAGGTCAACCAACGCAGGTGCTGTGCAGCCATGGCTCCAGCGTAGATCTCAGCCTCAGCGGTAGAGGTCGAGACCGAGGAGGAGCGCGTGGACCTCCACGAAACAGCTCCAGAGCCCAGGCTGAAACAGTAACCCTGAGTAGACCTGTGGGTCCCAGCGTCGTCAGCGTAAGAAGAGTCACAGTGACCAGTAAGGACGACCGGCTGTGTCCCTCCAAGTACCAACCCCATGCCTGATGTCGTCGCTAGGTACTTCGCCACCCTCACAGCAGCGGTCCAGTGAACAGGACGGTGTCTCCCTGGCGCAACAAAGCGAGCAAGGATGCTGAGAGGGTAGGCGAGGTCCAGGGCCCGTGCTAGGATTTGGGGCACCCTGAGCCCTCAGGGCACTTTTCTAGAATCTTTAAAAATGCCCTGATTTGACAGGGCAAATGTTCAAAGCCTTCCTGTATGTTCAGGGCTTTTGCAGAAACTAATCCTGACATGTCAGGGCAAAAATCATAGTGTTCAGGGTTCAGATTTTAACACAAACCAGACCAGACTCTGTTTAGCAGAGCAGAGCAGAGCAGCCACAGCGTACAAAAAGTTCGTGTTTTACTACTCATTAAACGCCTACACCACCTCTTAGCCCTCCTCCTCCTCATCATCATCATCGCTGCCGCCACTAAACCCACTGTCGGTGCTGCTGCCGTTGCCATGTTCAGTATCTGCTTCTTGTCCGTCCTCCAAGACGTTCCCCTTCCCCGCCTTCCTCTGCTTCTCCCTTCTCTTAATAGGCCTGCTCTTCTTGCTGCTACACCACAAATCCACAACCTTTACCCCATTCCATGTCATACTCAACTAGGCTCAGGCACATCAGGTCACTGAGCCTGGCATCACAGAGGCTGGTCCTCTGCCAGGACTTAATCACGTTCTGGCAGCTAAAGCCGCGCTCACACTCGACGGTGCTGAGCGGCAGGACAACCACCGCTGTTCAGAGGCGGACGAGGTTGGGGTAGCTCCGCTCCCAGTCCTTCGTTCACAGCATGGCCGCCAGTCCGCGTTGAAATGTGCGCTCGCCTTTGGGAGCGCCAGCCAGAACAGGGACAAATGTCCTCAGTTCCTTCTTGGCAGCATGCTTGTCCACACCTGCCACGCATTACACACATAACAGTGACAGAAGAAGGCGGATTCTGGTTATACACAGGGCAGGGATGGATCAAAGAATTTTCTGGTTATACACAGAGCAGGGACAGAACACGGAGTTTTCTGGTTATACATAGAGCAGGGGCAGAACATGTCAGATTGCTGGATATACAGAGAGCAGGGACAGATTGCTGGATATACAGAGAGCAGGGACAGATTGCTGGATATACACAGACCAGGACAGATTGTTGGATATACACAGAGCAAGGACAGAACCTGGCAGATTGTGGACATAGGACATAATGGGTAAGGCAATCTACTTGTGCTTACCTGGGAGAATGTCTGCTCGCTCGCGGGCATGAAACAAGTCGACGAGAGTCTCAAAGTGCTCGCGGCACTCCTCAGCGCGTCCCTCCTTGTCTTCAGGGTACGTGTCTGGCATAAAAAGCCGGACACCGTTCAGGCTTTCGAGATCCCCCAGCCTCTTCTAGAGGTGGGTGAGCGTCGAATTGGCGTGGCGGCGGCAGACGTCGAGGCGGGACTACAAGTCATTCGGGGTCTTGCTGTAGCCCGTCAATGCCTACTTGTGAAGCTCAAAGCTTTGTTGTCGCTTCTCCCCCTCCTTGTCCACACCAGCCACAGTGATTTTCCGAGACTTACTGAGCCTGGCTAGGAACGCCCCGAGATGTAGCTGTGGGCCGCCGTTGAAGTCATCGCCGCACTCGATGTAGCGCGTACGGATGGTGATCAGGGTGCGGCGCACGGTCGACTGCACCGATGCCATGTCGACCTGCAACATGACTTGGTACAGTTTCAACAAGTACCGTACAAACAACAATGCTAAGGGTCTCGGGATTACAAAGGCTACTCACCTCCCGCGTCTGAAATTCTAGGTTGAGGTTGTTGAGGATGTTGAGCATGTCGGTGAGGTAATAAAGATACACATTGAACTTCACTGAAGTAACAATGTGGTAGAAGTCGTCGTCCCACTTCCAAAGGAGCACGACGACGGCAGGGAGCACACGCACCAAGCGCGTGATGGCATCGCCGCGGCTCAGCCAATGAACTGAGTGAATTCCCTGCAGTTCAAGGTTTGTCTTGCAGAACACCTCCTGCAACTCCTTGAACTCATTGTGAGAGGGATGCGACCTTCCCAGGTATTCTGCAAGTTCCTTCACTATGGTGTCGATTAGGCCCAGCTCAGGGACTGCAGTGGCGGCGTCCTTAGCTGCCAGCGCCTCTCTGCATGACATGATGTGGGCACGAGAGAAGGGGAGGTTTGGTTCAAGGAGTGAGGACTTGCATCGATTGTTTTTGCGGGCCGTTGCTGTCCGTCCACGAGGAGACTATGGAGCAGATCACCGTCTCGTCTGGAGCGGGGAGGGAGGGAGGGGGGGGGGGAGGAAAGTAGGGGGGAAACAGAAAGGGTGGGGAATGGCATGAGCTTTAGATCATGTGCGCGCATGCCTGCCTTACACTTTCTGCGCAACGTGATGGGCATTTTGATGCAACACACACATGCAATGGGTATTACTAACCGATGTGCTACGCAATGGCTGGAGAAGAGGTGCGGGACCATTACACGCAGCCAAGCCACCAGCCCGTTTGTGCTACCCATCATCGCACCTGCGCCATCCGTACTAATCCCGACCACCCTGCTCCTGTCGATTCCAAGAGTGTCAAGGAGGGTCAGCAACAGGGAAAGCAATGAAGCGCCATCACGTTTCTCCACCGTCAGTAGACCGATGAACTCCGTGACTACACGAGAGTCACGGAGAAACGTGGCAAACACGACCTGGTGTTTGCCACGCACACGATCTGTACTCTCTTCACAGGTTAGTCCGATGAATGGACTAGACTGCAACCAGACTTGCTGACGAGCACGGAGATATGCTGCAGTGCTTGCAATGAGCTCGGCAAACCCGTATCAGCATCAAACGGAAAAAGGTACTGAGGGTTAGCAACATAGGTGTAGGCTGTGAGCAAGGTTCTCAAGTATAGCAGCTATCGTTGATCAACGGCTCACCTGGTGTAATAAGCACCGTAGCCATTCTTGGGGAAGCCTGGTGTTTGTCGCTCTGCAAGGGGCCGAACGAATTGAACCTACATCTCAATCGGTGCGTCACATTTGCAGATGAACAGCAGGGTCTCCAGCAGAGCGATGACCCTTACACGCTGGATGTCTCCAGCCTTTGGGCAGTCGATGATGCGCTCCTGCTTCTCAGCCGCCTTGTCCGCCTGGGCCTGTCTCTTGACGAACCGTTTGTGCTTTCGGGAGCTTTGATGCATGCAGAACGCCTGGGTTTGGACATTGTCGGCACCTTCGCCAGCAGCGCCGTAGTTTGTGCCGTGTCCTGCGTGCTTGATACACAGAATGCACCTCACAGATGGGAAACCGAAGGAGGTTTGACAAAGCACGAGCCACGGGAAATCAGTTGACCATTCCTGTTTGTACTTCATAAGCGTCTGCTGGTATTTATCCTCTGCCTCATCGCGCAGTTCCTTCGTAGACGAAGTTGCTGCAGGAACGGCCGATGGTCCTGGTAAAGCTGGCGCTAAGCGGACACGAGCGCTGGGTTCCGTAGGACTATCACGAGAGAACGACAAGCGCGACTGTTTGTGCTTGGTCGCTCTTAACTTAGCAGTAGCGGCAGGGCCGATGCGTGTCGCACCAGGCTGTACAATGTTGGTGCCGTTCGTACTAGCACAGGCGGGTGTGACTGCGAGAGTTTGAGATGAACCAGCTGCAGGTAAACCTGTTGGTAAGGTGGACACAACTCTAACCAGACGCAAGAAATGTAGTCCGGTTAGACCCCGTGATACTGGCGCCGCGCCATCGTCCGCGTTGGCCATGACTAGTTTGAGTGAGCCAGCCGACCTTCACCAGTGCTGCTGCTATTCTAACAACAACACTCGAAGGGTGTTGGATGGAGGAGTGCTGAACGCAAGCGAGAGAGACCCAGCCACAGCATGCATGGCACAAGACGAGTTGCCTTGGCGATGGGTGATAGGATTGGCTTGG